CCCCAAAACCCCAAAACCCCAAAACCCCAAAACCCCAAAACCCCAAAACCCCAATCTGCTACTTAAAGGTTGATACTGATCAATTCAATAATAAATTAAATGAGATATACAAAATTAATATGCCTGCTTTTGTGTATGCTTCTTGTAAGTAATGCACTTCGTATAAAGACTGCCAACAGAAATCTTTCTCGGATGCAGACATCTACTCGTGGAAATAGACTGCAAAGTACCTTGCATGGGGGAATCCAATCCCGCTTGCAACAGGATGGTAAGTTATGGTTTATTTTTCATTTCTATTTTTGGTGTGGATTATATTTTATGTCTCTTACATTGATACAAACCCAATCCCAACAAAGCCAATCATACTATCTAACACCCTGAATTAGTCTCTAAATATATTCCAATTTATGGATAGCTATCAATAGAGTAGGTGATTATGGAGAATACCCATCTTCCAATTTCTACCTTCACATCATATATCTTTGAGTATATGGGCGAGCTTAATCCATAAAGAAAGTTTTATATAATGAATACATTTACTCGTGTCCCTGCATAATTTGCTATCCTTGTCATATCTATCGGCTTGCAAGAGAAAAGTTAGAATTCTCTCTTTTTGATAAAAAATTTTGGTGCACCATTAATATTATTCTTTAAGTATAAAGTTCTAACATTACATATAGACACTGTAGTAGATGGTGCTGATGAAGATGATCTTGCAGCCAACATCTTTGCTGATGATGATGAGCCAACTGAACAAGAAGATATTGTCCAGAGTGATATCGAAGCTGAAATTGAAGCCGAAGCTGAAGCCGAAGCTGAGATAGAAGCTGGAGCTGAAGCTGAAGTCGAAGATGGAGCTGAAGATAGCTCTGCAGCTACAGATGACGTTCAAGACAGTACAACTGAAGCTGATGCTCAAGTAGAAAATGCTAATGATGCAGCTCAAGATGCTCTTGAGTTAGCTCAGGATGCTGGAAACAATGATGCTATCGATGCTGCTAATCAAGCTCAAGAAGATATTGCCGTAGCTGAAGAAACTCAAGATAATGCTGAAGAATTAGCTGATATTGCAGCTGAGACTGAAGATCCTGATGACTTGCAGGCTGCTCAGGATGCCCTTGAAGATGCAGATGAAGCTACTGATGCTGCTACTGAATCTGCTGAAGACGCTCAAGAACAAGCAGAAGATGCTGCTGGTACAACAAATGATGGAGCAGCTGAAGGAGATGCCGATGAAGCCCAAGCCGAAACTGAAGAAGAACAAGAAGAGAATACAGAAGAAGCTTCTGAAGATGTAAGCGAGGCTCAAGAAGGCCTTGATGAGGCTGAAGCTGAAGCTGATGATGCTCAAGAGCAAGCTGATGCTGTTGCTGAAGAAACTGAAAATGCTGAAGAAGGAGTACAAGAAGACCAAGAAGCTTTAGAAGAAGCTGAGGGAGAACTCGAAGAAGCACAACAAGAAGGAGATCAAGAAGCTATCGAAGAGGCTGAAGGTGCTGTAGAGGGAGCCCAGGATAATTTGGAACAAGAAACTGAAGAACTAGCTGATGCTCAAGAAGATGAAGCTGAAGCTCAGGAAGAGGTAGATGAAGCTCAGGAAGAAGTCGCTGAAGAGGAAGCTGAAGTTGAAGTAGCTGACGATACTTTGGAAGCTGTAGAGGATGGAGAAGCTCCAGAAGAAGCAGCAGCTGAAGCCGAGGAAGAAGTTGCTGCTGAGGAAGCTGCACCAGCCGATGAAGCTGCACCAGCCGATGAAGCTGCACCAGCCGATGAAGCTGCACCAGCCGATGAAGCCGCACCAGTCGATGAAGCCGCTCCAGTCGATGAAGCCGCTCCAATCGATGAAGCCGCTCCAGCCGATGAAGCCGCACCAGTCGATGAAACTGCTCCAGTCGATGAAACTACTCCAGCCGAAGAAGTTGCTCCAGCTGAAGAAGTAACACCAGAAGAAGAGGCTGAGGAAGCTGAAGATCAAGCTGAAGCTGAACAAGAGGTTGAGGGAGAAGTTGAAGAAGCTGAAGCCGAGGTAGAAGAAGCTGAAGCTGAAGCCGATCAAGCTGAAGAACAAGTTGATGCTGCCGAAGAAGTCACAGATGGTGCAGAAGCCGAAGTTCAAGAGGATCAAGAAGCTGTTGACAGTGCTGAATTAGAACTTGAAGAAGCCACTGCCGAAGGAGATGAAGCAGCTATTGAGGATGCTCAAGAAGCTGTTGATGAAGCAAATGGGGAATTAGAGGAGTCTAGTGATGATCTTGAACAAGCTGAAGATGCTGAAGCTGAAGCACAAGATGGTCTTGATGAAGCAGAAGCAGAGGTTGCAACAGAAGAAGCTGACTTAGAGGTTGAGGAAGCAACAGAGGATGCTATTGAAGAGGGAGTTGATCCAGAAGTAGCTGAAGAAGAAGCTGAGGAAGAGGTAGCTGATGAAATTGCTGAAGAGGAAGCTGCTCCAGCAGAGGAAGCTGCTCCAGCAGAAGAAGCTACTCCAGTAGATGAAGCAATTGAAGAAGAAATCTTTGCTAATGATGGAGTTGAAGAAGTTGAAGGTGGTGAAGAACCAGCTGAAGCCACGGAAGAAGCTGCCGAAGATGCCATTGATGAGGCTGAGGAAGCTGAAGAGGAGGTTGCAGAAGCTGAAGAGGAAGTAGCTGAAACTGAAGACGCTGTAGATGCTGCTGAAGAAGCTACTGATAGTGCTGAAGAAGAAGTTGCAGAAGACCAGGCTGAAGTTGCTGATGCCCAAGAAGAACTAGATGAGGCAACTGCTGAAGGTGATGAAGCAGCAATTGAGGAAGCTCAGGATGCTGTTGATGAAGCTACAGAAGAACTCGGTGATTCTAGTGCAGAATTTGCAGATGCTCAAACTGAAGAAGCAGACGCTCAGGCTGATCTTGACGCAGCTGAGACTGCAGTTGAGGATGATCAGGTTGCTGCTGAGATTGTCGAAGAAGAAGCTGATGCAGTTGAAGAAGCAGTCGAAGAGGAAGAGGCTGCTGAGGAAGCAGCTCCAGAAGAAGAGGCTGGGGAAGAAACTGATGATGTTGTAGAAGAAGCAGAAGAAGCTGCTGAAGAAGCAGAAGAGAATGTTGAAGAAGGTGAGGAAGATGTTGCTGAAGCTGAGGCTGATGCAGCCGAGGCAGAAGATGCTGTTGATGCTGCTGAAGTGGTTGCTGATAACGCTGAAGCTGAAGTTGTTGAAGATCAAGCAGCAGTTGAAGAAGCTGAAGAAGTTCTTGCTGAAGCCACTACTGAAGGAGATGAAGAAGCTATTGAAGAGGCCCAAGATGCTGTTGATGAAGCAACTGATGAGCTTGAAGATTCAGCTGAAGACCTTTCTGATGCTCAAGAAGATGAAGCAGATGTCCAAGCCGATCTTGACGAAGCTGAGGCTGAAGTTGGAGAAGAGCAAGCTGAACTTGCTGCTGAAGAAGCTGCTGAAGAAGCTACTGAAGAAGATTTAGTCTCAGCAGAAGTTGAAGAACAAGCCGAAGGTGGTGAAGAGCCAGCCCCAGTTGAAGAAACTCCTGCCCCAGTCAATGAAGAGCCTATTACTATTGAAGATATGGCTCCAACTGATGAAGATGGAAACCCAATTCTTGATATTGCTACCTTAGAACAAAACTTAGATGAAGTACATGAAGCAGAAGATACTTTAAGTGGACAAATTGGTCAATTAGAAGGAGCTCCGCTAGATAATGAAGTTGATGATGCTGTACCAGCCACACCTGTAGAAACTCCAGCAGCTCCAGTTGATGCTCCAGTTGAAGAACCTGCAGCTCCAGTCGATGCTGCTGCTCCAGTAGATGCTGATGCCCCAGTTGATGCTGCTGCCCCAGTTGATGCTGCTGCCCCAGTTGATGCTGTTGCTGCTCCAGCCGATGTTCCAGCTGATGCTCCAGTAGATGCTCCAGTAGATGCTCCAACCGATGCTCCAGTCGATGCCCCAGTCGATGCTCCAGTAGACTCTCTAGCTGCAGCCCCAGTGGATGATGCTGCTACTCCAGCCGATGCTGCTACTCCAGTCGATGCTGCTGCTCCAGCCGATGCTGCTGCTCCAGCCGATGCTGCTGCTCCAGCTGATGGTGCTGCTCCTGCTGATGCTACTGCTCCTGCTGATGCTACTGCTACTCCAGCCGATGCTGTTGCTCCAGCTCCAGCAGATGCTACTGCTCCTGTCGATGCTACTGCTCCTGTCGATGCTGCTGCTCCAGCCGATGATGCTGCTGCTCCTGCCGATGATGCTGCTACTCCAACCGATGCTACTGCACCAGTCGATGCTGCTGCTCCAGCTCCTGCCGATGCTGCTACTCCTGTCGATGCTGCTGCTCCAGTCGATGCTGCTACTCCAGTCGATGCTGCTCCCGCCCCAGCCGATGCTGCTCTCGCTCCAGCAGATGCTGCTCCCACCCCAGCCGATGCTGCTGCCCCAGTCGATGATGCTGCCCCAGTCGATGATGCTGCCCCAGTCGATGATGCTGCCCCAGTCGATGATGCTGCCCCAGTCGATGCTGCTGCTACTCCAGTCGATGCTGCAACTCCAGCTGATGCTGCTTCCGCCCCAGTTGCTCCAGCCGATGCTACAGTTGACGCTCAAGTCGATGCCTCAGTTGAAGCACCAGTTGATGTTGCTGTCAATGGTCCAGCTAACGCTGCTGCCAATGCAAATGTTAATGCTGCTCCAAATGCTGCTGTTAACGGTGCTGCACCAGAAGAAATTCCAGTCTCTGAATAAGCAGATTAAATTTGGGCCTGTTTCCAAATTAGAATTGACTAATTTTAATAAACCAATATTAAATTCTTACCTTGGGGTTTTGGGGTTTTGGGGTTTTGGGGTTTTGGGGTTTTGGGGTTTTGGGG